AGTAAAAATTAAAAATTTTAAAATTTGAATACACTAAGCAATGGTGAAATAATTGATGTAGTAATAATAGGCGGGTGAATATGAATTCAATTTTATATGGAAAATTAATATTTAACCAATAATTTAATATAAATGGAGTTTCCCCCCCACTAATTAGCTATAAATGGAGTTTTTTCCTAAAAATTAGCCAATTGATGTAGACTACGTACTTTTCTAATATTTAGCCAATAATTTAATATAAATGGAGTTTTTTCCTAAAAAAATTACTAATTAAAAGTAGTGAAAATGTGACTTGATAACTATTAGTGACTATAATTATATGCAATGTTTACAGGATAGTGACTACATCATAGTAAATTCAAACACAATTATGGTCACTCAAAATTATCAAGTCACATTTTTATTTTCTAGCACTAATATTAGTGGAATTTTTCATATAAAAAAGATATGCTCGTATGTTTTTTTTTAAATAAAACGATTATAAAAAATGAAATAAAAATACAAATTGAGTTTTAAAGATTTCGTTTCTTGACTTGATCATGATTTCAATTGACTCCATGTTTTACATTATTTTTTTACTACATAATACGTAGTAATACATACTTTATATATAGACACTTCTACAAATTTGAACCATTTATGAATGATTCAAAAATCATAACGTATGATCCTCCTTTCCATCCAATGATGCAAATTAGTTTCCATATATGTCTAATTTTTGGCTGGCAAAGTTGGAGCCAAATATGGTGACCACTTTGCTACTTTATATAATAGATTATATTATATATTATATTACTCCCTCCGATTTTTAATAAACTTCACACTTTCCTTTTTGGGACGGTCTAAAATAAACTTCACACTTTCTTATTTCCTTTTTTGGCAAAGAAATTTACATCAAAACAGTGCCAAACAGTGCCAAACAGTGCCAAATAGTGTCTCAACAGTGCCAAACAGTGTTTCTACAGTGCCAAACAGTGCCTCAACAGTGTACTCTACAGTAAAGTCAAATTTCTTTCCTTATTTTGTGTGAAGTCAAACTGTGAAGATTAAAAAAAACAGGAGGTAGTATATAATATAAAGATTTTTTCTTTTTCATTAATAAAATATATTTTAAATATAATTTTTTTCATAAATAAGCAGAATCAATCAATTCAGTCACTTGAGCAGCTAAAATTTCTTATTTTGTTGTTATCAAATGGGCTCTTGTATACATTGACAACATGTTACCTCGCTGGGCTGCATTAAATTCCATCTGCAGGTTTCACCTTGGCTTCCTAGTTCCTACCGGAAAATTTTGCAACACCAGGCTCTCTGCTAAATAATCCCATGTCTGTGTTTGCAACCATAAATATTGGCATTTTCTAGGGATTCTTGAATAGTCACTACTCAATATCTATGTATGACTGATTTCCCATATATTTCAAGAACGCAAGTTAATTTAGGCCAGTGTCAGCTGAAATTCAACCTAGAATAACCTAACTTAGTAGGTTCTTGCTGTAAGTTCTTAGGGTCTGTTTGGTACGATGTAAACACTTTGCACATAAAGTGTGGGGAAGTAAACATTTTTTTATTAAAAAAAGATGAAGGTCCTACAAGAGATTTCATTTACAATGTTTTAAAAGAAATTGATCTAATTAGGACAAAAACATAGTGAATATTCCAACTTAGGACTTAATGTTTTAAATTTCATAAATAGGACTCCCTATTACCATTTTACCCCTGATATCAAATCCCTAAAAATACTTCGTATTTCTTTCTCCCGATCTCCCGATCTCCTCTGCCTCTTCCGCATCGATCCCCCCGGATCTCTTCCGCATCTCTCACGTGTCCGCAAGTCTTCGCTTCCACGCTCCCCTGCTCAGGTCGAAATATTTCCAGGTAAGTAATTCTTCTTCTTCTTTCTTCTTTTCCTTCTTCTCCTTTTCCCTCTTCTCCTTCTTCTTCTCTTCTGTTCTCTGCTCTTGCATTTTAGATTAACTTTCTATTGATGATTTTGTTGATCTTTTAGATTCAAAATGAAAATATTTTTTAATTTGAAAATTTTGGATTTGAAACTTTTGGATATGAAGTTTGAGGCTCTATCAACTGTTTGAAATTATTGGCCATGACAGATTGTCTGTCTATCAATTTTTATTATGTTCTTGTGTCAATTTTTTTAAAATGCCACATGATTGGCAATTTTTTTTGAGACATGATGGCAATTTTTTGGGTGATGACAATATTATATGTTTGAAAGTCCATGATTTTAACATTTTTGACAAAATGATGACATTTTTATGATATTGGGAATGTCATGTTGTTATCTAAAAAATGACATGTTTTTGCATCTAAAAATGTCATGTTTTTGCATCTAAAAATGTCATGATGTAATATAAAAAATGACATGTTTTTGCATCTAAAAATGTCATGTTTGGATCCAAAAATGACATGATTTTTCATCCAAGCCATGTTTTCTTTTTATCCCGATGGCATTTCTTATGTTTGAAAAATGACATGTTTTTGCATCCATGTGAGGCATTTGCAATATAGTAGATCTGCACAGGAGATGACATCTGCAGAGAAGATGTCGGCACCTCCATGGGATAATTCATGCCTCCATTCAATAGGTGTGCAGCGGCAGTCTCTCCTGGCGGGTAAGCAGGCAGCAGTCTCATTTGGCGGTGGCGGCGGTCTGACCTGGCGACGGCGGCGGTCTAACCTGGCGACGGCGGCGGTCTGACCTGGCGACGGCGGCATTCTGACCTGGCAGTGGCAGTTGTCTCACATGGCGACGGTGGTCTCGTTATGTAGCAGTTGCAACAGCTTTGACGTCATCCCACAGGTGTTGCCGTGTTGGTGGTCTCTCACTGTAGGGCGTCATGGGAGGGCTGGGGATTTCATTAATCTTTTGTTTCCAGGGTTAATTTTGTCCAACTGCTGTATTTTAGTCCTAAAGAAGGCCAAATAAACACGGTAGTCCTAACTTTGCAATTTTCCAATGTTTTAGTCTCATTCAGGGAATTTACTCATGTTTTAAACATTATCTTTGTCCATGAAAGCCCAAGCTTTTATAGCCCGCAACGATTAAGCCTTTGATAGCCCAAACCATTCTTGTTGTGCATTAAAGCCCAAGCCTTTAGCCCGAACTTGCATGTTCAACAAACACAAATTTGATTTGTGATGGACAAACTCCTGTAATCCTCTTCATCTTAATGCCCCACAAGGTTACAAGCCCGCGTTCTAAACATTTTACACCGTTTGTTTTAATTATTTGATGCAAACTTTAGAGCACTTTTTTAAAAACATTTTACACCGTACCGTCTAAAATATTTTAGGTGGGGGAGGGTAGTAAACTGCTTTACATCCGTCCATATCTATTACTAGGGATGACAACGGGGCGGATCGGGGGCGATTTTACTTATAACCGTACCCGCCCCGTTGGGTAATTTCCCCGCCCTATTACCCATCGTGTAATTTTTCCTCAAACCATAACCGCCCCAATGGGTAACGGGTATAACCACGGGTAATTTCGGGCAACCGTTTTATTAAATGAGTCATTGATATTTTAATATAAAAAATAATATTTTAAAAGGTAAAAATGGCAGCGCTTAGATGACTTTAGACGTCAGACGCCACTTAAAAGCTTCGCATATCTACAAGACGAGAAAAAGGCAATCTAAATTAATTTGAACCTAAAACTTAATCCGAACAAAAAAACTGATAATAATCAAACAAGACTATTAAAATCTATTATGAAATTCCGTTCACACTATAACTAGTATATCTATTATCCATTTATACACAATGAAAGAGAATTGAAACAACTCATCTTTTATTAGTTGTGGAATAAATAATACTACCTCCGTTCCACTAAGATTGGGACATGAGAAGGTGACACGATTATTAAGAAAACTGAGTTTGTGTGGTTGATATTAAAATTGATAAAGTAAGAATAAAGTAGGAATGATTTAGAGCCACACAAATTTTACCAAATTTGGTATGTGACAATCTTAGTAGTACTTTCAGAAAAGGTAAAATGGGATAATCTTAGCGGGACGGAGGGAGTAGATAAATGTAATAAAAATATAACTAAAAATAAACGGGGCGGTTACGGGGCGGGTAATGGGGCGGACATGTATAAAACCGTAACCGCCCCGTTACCCGTAAAAACAAAACGGGTATTCCTCGTCTCGTACCTGTTATCCGGTCAATGCGGTTTTCCCCGTTTTGACCGGGCAATTCGGTGTGGATATCCATCGCATCTAGGGCTGAGCAAAACCCGAACTGACCCACAAAACCCGAAGTTTTTTCGGATAATATCCGAACCGAAATGGATATCTGACCCGAAAAACCCAATAACCGAAAATCCGATTAGTATTGGGCCTAGATCGGGTGGCGGGTAGGGTTTGTAAAATCCCAACCCGACCCGCCCGAATATCCGAAATATATTAAATAATTTAGTGTGTACTTTGAATATGTTAAATTAATATTTGTGTTCAATTATTTGTGTAATTATTTGTGCAATTTGTGTTAAATTATTTTTGTAATTTGAATGTGTAGTGCACTAGTGTGTACAATTTTTGTCAAAGTGACATTCCAACACTTTAATTATCCAATTATACTGTGTTTTAATAAAACCGAAATATTCAAAATATATTAAATTATGTAGTGTGTACTTTGAATATATTAAATTAATACTTGTGTTCAATTATTTGTGTAATTATTTATGCAATTTGTATTAAATTATTTGCGTAATTTGAATGTTTAGTGCACTAGTTTGTAGAATTTTTGTTAAAGTGACATTCAAACACTTTAATTATCCAATTATATATTTTTTTAATATAACCGAAATATCCGAAATCCGATATGATATCCGATAATATCTGACTTACAAATATCCGAAAAACCCGATTTGAAATATAAAGGGTCAGGCCTAGTATTAAACTTAAAAAACCCAAATGGGTTTAAGGTACGCAGACCCGACTCGCCCGAACCCGACCCGTGTTCAGCCCTATTGGCATCGGTCACAATTGCATTACTCCCATCCCTATCTATTACTCCCGTTCCAATTTACCATCCAACCCTACTCCTTTCAGCCGGGAGTGTGGCTGCAAAATAAATTCTTTTCCACTGGGAGTGTTGCGGCAAAACAAAAAAGAGTTGTCGGCAGTTCCTTCAACTAATTCATCTCCTGTATAAGAAGAACAAATCCTCAAGAACAACTCTCATCGTCTGTGCTGGGTAGAACTGCAGTTTTCAAGAGGTAATCCTTCTTATCCCTTCTAATTAATTAATATTTGAGATGATTTTGTTTAGAAATTGAGGATGTTATTTTTGAAAGAGATGAGGATATGACGTCCCCTGCCTTTGAAATAAACTAGTGTTGTTCTACTCCAAGCCATAATAGATGAGCATATATATTTCCCTGCCTTTGAAAGAAGTCAATTTGGAATTTATATGTTTTGAACAGTTTGAGAAAGTGACAAATTTTTTTGATCGTTTTAATGCTGCTGATGATGTTAAGCCACATATACTACAAGAAAAACAGATTCTTTCTTACTCATGCCAGATGAAGACGCAAAGTTGATTTATGTTAGAGCTGTCTTGAATGGAGAAATCTAATTAGTGTCATTTTAGTTATTTTATAAGACTTTTTTATGGTATTTGACTAAGTGGAATATTGAATTTTTTCGTTTTTTTGTGGTTCTTGAAAAAAAGTTTTATATGATTTTGGTGAGTAATTTTTTTGCACGTCACTCTTTTTTCTAGGTAGCAGTTGTGGTACACGTATCTTTAATTTGGTTAATGGGTTATGTAGTCATTTTAAATTAGTTAACGTGTAAAGTTTTTTTTGTAAACAAACCATGTAAAAAGTTTGCATGTAATTTAAAAAGGAGATTACACACGTAACCAAACGATTCATTTCTATTTTACATGCAAACTATTTTACGGCCCTAAACTTTGCATGCAATCATTTTGCATGTAAAGTTTTAATGTGTAAACAACCAAACAGGTTCTTAGTTTGACTGCGGAGTTGTTTAGTTTCTACAAGCATATTACAAGTATGTTTCATAGTTTAATTGTTTTTTAATCAGTTTTATTTATGCCAATGAGTTGTTGGTTATGCTGACTGAAGGAACGAGTCAATGTTTCAGTGAGACAGTGAAAGCAAGAATCCATCCAAGGGACTATAAGATGTCAAAATTCACATGGAGGATTGAAAATTTCTCTCAATTGGATGCTGAAAAGATTTACTCTATGACGTTTGTTGTAAATGAGCACCAATGGTATGCCTCACATGGAAATGAGTAAAAATTATTGCTCTATTCTGCATGTTTTGTGTGTTAATAAGTTTGTGTTTTTCTTGTATCTGTAGGAGGTTGTGTCTTTATCCAAAAGGAGACAATACAGATCATTTGTCTCTGTACCTCAGTTTGGCTAACACGGGTAGCTTACCCAGTGGGTGGAGTATAACAGCAAATTACCATCTAGCTCTTATTAACCAGAAAAACAACAACAAAACAATCAAAATAGGTATTTCCACATGAGCCAAAAGCTTTGTGAATTCATACACTTCTTATGTCTTTGTTCAATGCTCTGTCATTTTATGGTTCTCGGTCCTAATGTCCTGTATCCATTAACATTATCGGTTTCCGGATGATTCATAAACTGTATGAAATTACTTATTTGTTGCTGCTCTTATTTTGTTAACCTAAACTTTAGACCTATGTGTATTAATTACCAATCAATGCTATTGTTTTGGGATCCAAATCATTACCCATAAGCTCGACAGGTAAACACAGTGCGCTACGTATAAGGCCTTGTCAAATAAGGATTTCTGGAACGCCACCTTCCATTAACTACCGTTTTTAAGATTGTCAAAATCATTATGTGGTACCTTTTTGCGCATTATGCAGAGAGGAAATGTCGGAAATTCGAAACAGGTATTACTAGTAGGGGCTATCCTTCTCTGATCCTGGTCAGTAAGTTTCACGATAAAAGTGAAGGTTATCTGGTTGGGGATACATGCCTGATTGAAGCTGAAGTTTGTGTCCTGCCTGATGCTTGTTCAGCTTCAACCAATAATGTAAGTTCATATATGCTTGATTGAAGCTGAAGTTTATCTACATGATATTGGCCTAGTGCGTTTCCTAATTGTAAATGTCTTCTTTTTTCTCCTGTATGCATGTGATCAGGCTTTAGATTCTCCTGTTGCTCTCTATGATCCTAATGAATCTTTGTATGTCGAGGCTCAAATGTTTCTCGAGTCCCTACTTAAGAAACGATCCAACAGCTGCATGGTATCCAAGGCTCCGACATGTGAAATGGTTTTGCTTAAAGGACATGCATCTTCTGTAAAAGAGATCCTTGATATGCTGATATCATACCCTTTTGATGCATTGGCTGATCCCAGAAATGAAACTGCAATATTGGAGTCTTTGTCTCCACTAAACGACCACCTTTATTTGTTTAGTGATGGACGGGCTGTTGAAATTATGAATTTGAAAGCTACTTTTCCTCAGATAATGCAGAATTGGAGAAATTCAATTCAAGGTAAGGAAAGAAGAAGCGAGCATCCATGGTCTAGTTTTGATAAGACCCAAAGTTTGCTGGAAGAATTGGTCAAAACGGGGGAGGACATAAAGGCTAAAGTGAAGGAGCTAAACAAGAAAGAAACAGAATTGGAAGCTAAGCTGGACGTCATTGAACACAATATTCGACAACTCAAGGAGGAACGGGAAGAATTATCACATCATACAAAAGCAGTATGTTCACTTGCCGAGAAGCAGGCTAAGAACATTAAAGCAGAAAAGGTGGAGTTGGTGGGCCCAGCTATCAAAAAACTGAAGGTTAACTTGAAGTGAAAGTGGCCTCGGTTGTGTCTACTGACAAACATTTTCCCAACATTTTGTCTATTTCTGCTATTAAAAGCTCGTTGGAGCCTACTTTTGTCACGTTGGCTATTAATGAGTGATTCTGAGAAACCCAATAAATGTTTCAGAAGAAGAATCTGACTGTACAAAAGTAGAAGAATAAGATTAGGCAGGAAGAATATTTTTCTGATCTATATACTAGTCGATAGTATTATATACTTCGTTTGGCTTCCAGCAATCCAGCCTTTCTTATACAATGTTAACATCCCAATAAACAAATCATGTGGAGCACCTAATATGAATTGAGAAGTGGGATGTCTATAACAATAATCCCCTATAAACAAGCTAGCCACTGACAAATAACTAATCAATTAAATAAATAACAACATTAAATTATTCTTTCCTATTACTCACAAAAGCAGCCAATATATTCACATAGGTGTTGGAGTTAAAATAATATGGATATTTCTTGCAGTTACATCGGCTCCTACATGGTTCATCAATACCATGTTTGGAACATTGGCCTTGTCCCCAAGGTCAAACATTGAGAATTGACAGCAAACAATATTTGTGTCTTCCCAGGTAGCATTTTCATCTACCAAGTCTTGCCACTTCAGACTTCACCAAGACTTGGTAGCATTTTCATCTGCCAAGTTTTGCCACTTCACCAAGACTTGGGACTTAGGAACACCTCCATGAAGAATGGTGCGGCTGGTCAGGATTATGACTGGGTGCAAGTTTAGCTGAACCTTCCTTTGTTGAAGGGGCAGTGTTGGGGATGAAGATATGTCATGGATGTGCATGTGAGTACAAGGTGAAGATAACTGCGCCAAATTAAACATATAAAACACAGTTATGTTTCAAAAAATTATTTGACTGCCTTTCCGATCGAATTTTTATCTGACATTTTTTGTGGATAAACAAGACTTGATGAGGAACATTTCATAAAAATTTCATCAAAAAACTCCACCGGGAACCGCCCCAAACGGCGGCGGCCGGACGGAGGATCCTGTCCCTCTGGCTGGACAGGATCTTTTCCGTATAGATGAGTTTTACTAAAAACTATTTTCACCATTATCATTAGTTCATTAATTCACTGTCGCAAAGGCTCTCACCTACGGTAGGGTAAGGGGTCGAATGTACGCAGTCTTATCCCTGTACTATAGCACAGAGAGACTGTTTTAGTACCAATCTTGCTCTTAAAAGGAATTCTTTTTTAGTTGCAACAGTCAACATTTCACACTTGCCAACGCACGCCTTCCGTAATTATATCTTAATCCCTATTAGTAAAAAAATTAAAAATCAGACTTTGAGAATTTGTAATGAGATGAATTGGACAATATTTTTTTAAAAAAATAATTTTTATAATATAATAGCATAAAATGCAGTCAAATTAGAACATGTGAATAGTGTAAAAGCAACATGTTGCGATAAAAAAAAAGGAGCATAGTAATTTTTTTCTTCGATAAAGCAAGTCTCTACAAAGAAAGCTTTTAAGTCAAAGGAAAGTCGTAATCTATTCAGTCACTGGAAAACTAATTTGAAAGGAATGTTTTCGTAAACGGATCAAAATGAAAAGATTTTATTCTAGTACTACTTATATTTATAGAATGTACATCATGTTGGGAATAACAGGATCGTGCTAATATGAGAGAAAAACACTTCTATTACTTTCAAGAATAGAAAGAAGAGACATACAAGCTCTAACTAAAAACTCTCAAAACAACACCTCCCATATCTCTCAAGGATATTCACAACTCTTCTTGGTTGTGCTAGGATGATCTATTCTAATTTACTTGATGATAGAAAGACTCTCCAAGCTCTCTATTTATAGCACCAAAACTAGGTACTATGAAGGTGGAAGGAAGCTTCAATGGAACATGAGGAAGCTTCAATGGTGGTTGAGGAAGCTCCCCTTGTCATTCTTGCACATGGAGGAAGCTTCATGGAAGCTATGAATTGAATTCTTCAATTTGCTTGTACTTGGATATGACCTGGAAATTGAATTCTGCACAGCTCTAGATTATCCCGTGTTACCACCTTCGTCAGCATGTCTGATGGATTCTCCTTTGTATTGATCTTCACTAGTCTCAACAGTTGTTGATCAATCGTCTCCCGTATCCAGTGATACCGAATGTCAATATGCTTTGTACGAGAATGGTACATAGAATTCTTGCTCAAGTCTAGAGCACTCTGACTGTCACAATGTACCTTGTACTCTTTCTGCTGGATCCCAAGTTCTTGGAGAAAGCGCTTTAGCCACAACATTTCCTTACCTGCTTCAGCGGCAGCAATGTATTCTGCTTCTGTTGTAGATAAAGTGACACACTTCTGCAATCTTGATTGCCAAGAAACGGCTCCCCCTGCAAAAGTGTAAAGATATCCTGAAGTAGACTTTGTACTATCAGTATCTCCGGCCATATCAGCATCTGTGTAGCCTTCCAAGACTGGATCAGCTCCTCCGTAACAAAGGCATAACTTCGTGGTACCTTTCAAGTACCTGATAATCCATTTGACTGCCTCCCAATGCTCCTTCCCGGGGTTAGAGAGAAAACGACTCACTATACCCACTGCCTGTGCGATGTCTGGCCTTGTGCATACCATGGCGTACATCAAACTCCCAATTGCTGAAGAATATGGAACTGCTGACATCTCCCCGATCTCTTCCTTGGATGTAGGGCATGTTCTTTTGCTCAACTTGAAATGAGTCGCAAGTGGAACACTTACTGGCTTGGCATCATTCATGTTGAATCTCTCAAGTACTCGTTCAATGTACTTCTCCTGAGATAGCCATAACTTGCGATTCTTCCTGTCTCGAGTGATCTGCATCCCAAGAATCTGTTGAGCCGGTCCTAAGTCTTTCATATCAAAAGACTTAGAGAGTTCTTTCTTCAGTTGGTTTATCTTCACTGCATCTTTCCCAACGATCAACATGTCGTCTACATATAGTAGAAGAGCAATGAAGGTACCGTCTGGAAGTTTCTTGATGTATACACACTCATCTGCAGTATTCTTCTTGTAGGCTTGACTCTTCATGCATGAGTCAAACTTCTTATTCCACTGCCTTGGTGCCTGCTTCAAGCCATACAAACTTTTAGATAATTTACACACAAAATTATCATTTGAGTTCTCAAAACCTTCCGGCTGCTGCATAAAGATTTCTTCTTTCAAATCTCCGTGAAGAAATGCTGTCTTCACATCCATCTGTTCAAGCTCCAAGTTCATACTTGCTGCTAAGCCAAGTATAACTCGGATTGAGGTCATCTTGACAACTGGTGCAAAGATCTCATCAAAGTCAATTCCTTTCTTCTCCTGGAACCCTTTGACAACCAACCGAGCTTTGTGTTTCACCACTTATCCGTTTGCATCCTTCTTCAGCTTGAACACCCATTTGTTCCTCAGTGCCTTCTTCCCTTTAGGAAGTTCTACGATCTCATAAGTTTGATTTTTCTGCAGAGATTCTAACTCATCCTGCATTGCTATTAGCCATTTTTCTTTATCCTTATGAGATACAGCTTCTTGAAAACTCTCCGGTTCTCCATCTTCAGTTAACAAAAGATATTCAGATGATGTGTACCTTGTCGATGGTATATGCCTTCGTTCAGATCTACAAACAGTTGGAACCATCTGAGAAGAGCTACCATCATCTGTGTCTGGCGGGGTGGATTGTGTCTCCCCTTGCTCTGCACTCTCTTCTGTCTCCTCGCCTTCTTCTGATTCTGAGTTATCTTCATGCACTTTGTCCTCTTCTGGTGCTTCATTTGAAACTTGAACACCCTCATTTGACTTCCGAGACATTGTGGGTTTTTCAATGTCTTCTATTGTCAAATCTTCGTGGAACACAACGTCCCTACTTCTGAACACCTTTTTCTCCTTAGGATCCCATAGCCTGTATCCAAACTCTTCATTTCCATAGCCAACGAAAATGCATGGGATAGTTCTTGCATCGAGCTTCTGCCTGAGCTCTTTGGATACATGTGCATATGATGAACAGCCAAATACTCTAAGATGTGAGTATGTAGGATCCTTACCTGTCCATAGCCTCTCTGGAACTTCAAAGTTCAGTGGTACCGAAGGTGATCGGTTGATAAGATAGCATGCGGTGTTGACTGCTTCTGCCCAGAATGACTTTGGGAGCTTAGCCATATTTAGCATGCTCCGGACGCGCTCCATGATAGTCCGGTTCATTCTTTCAGCAACGCCGTTGTGCTGAGGGGTGCGTGGTACTGTCTTCTCATGTCGAATGCCATATTCTCTACAATATGCATCGAACGCCTTGGAAGTATACTCGCCTCCATTATCAGATCGGAGACATTTCAGCTTCTTTCCCGTTTCACGTTCCACCAAGACGTGAAATGTCTTGAAGCACTCAAATACCTGATCCTTCGTAATCAGGAAATACACCCACACTTTCCGAGAAGCATCATCGATAAAAGTCAGAAAATATCTGCTTCCACCGATTGATTCCACCTCGAACGGACCACAGACGTCGGAGTGTACCAAACTTAACAACTCTGATCTTTTAGCTGAAGTAGAACTAAATGATACTCTATGATGCTTACCAAACAGACAATGACTGCAAGGACCCAGTGCAGCATTCTTGTCGATGTTGATAAGGTTCTTCTTCATCAAGGTAGTCAACCCTTTCTCACCGATGTGGCCGAGCCTCAGATGCCACAGATTCTGAGTAATCTCCTCAGCAATATTGAGGCTATCTGTACAAATCCTCAAATGAGTTTTGTACAATGTGCCACAAACATGTCCTCGAGCGATTGTCAAAACGCCCTTTGACATTTTCCAGGTGCCCCTATTGAAGTGGTTTTCATATCCCTGTTCGTCAAGACATACCACTGACAGGAGATTGAGACGAAGGTCTGGAACATGTCTGACATCCTTCAAAGTGATTGTGCTCCCAGAACTCGTCTTTATTTGTACATCACCAATTCCAGCTATTTCAGATGAACTGGAATTACCCATCTTCACTGCTCCAAAGTCTCCAGCTTTGTAAGTTGTGAAGTAGTACCTGTGGGGAGTAACATGGTAGGATGCTGCAGTATCTACCACCCATTCAGTGTCCTCTCTTAAGACGTGAAGGCATGTTTCATCATTGGCAGTACAATACGCCACATCACCTGAGATTGTGATGAGCGCTTCACCACCCTTGTTCTTCGCTTGAGAATTGCTCTTGCCTCGATCCTCTAGCAATTTGTAGCAATTCTTCTTCATGTGACCCTCTATACCGCAATGGTGGCAGGTATAAGAAGGTTTCCGGGCATCTGATGATCTCCCCCGACTTTTGCCTCTGCTTTGCCATTTCCCTCTACTGTTTCTTTGTTGTTTTCCTTGTGACATTCCTCTATTCTCCGTCACAAGGGCATGAGTCTCATCTGTGCTCATGTCTTTCCTTCTTGCCTCCTCATTGAACAGTGCATCCTTGACCACAGACATGGTAAGTTTGCCATCTGGGGCTGAGTTGCTGAGAGTAACAACTAGTGTCTCCCAACTATCAGGAAGGGAATTAAGAAGCAGTAGAGATTGCATTTCATCTCCAAGTGGCATTTCTACACAAGATAGTTGATTTACCAGACTCTGAAATTGACTAGTATGTTCGGCAACAGAAGTTCCACTTTTGAGCTTCATATTGACAAGACGCCTCATCAGTAGGGCCTTGTTCATAGCGGTCTTGGCCTGGTACATATCTTCTAACTTTTTCCAAAGGGCATAAACATCGGTTTCTTGTGCAACATGGTGGAAGACACTATGGTCAATCCATTGTCGGATTTGACCAATAGTTTTTCTATTAATTTTCTTCCATTCCGTTGACTTAGCCGGGTCAGGATTAATACCTTTCATCTCTATTGGATCAAGAAGGTCTTTACAGCTAAGGAAATCTTCCATCCGAGGTTTCCATAGCGTGTAGTTGGTAGCCGTGAGCATAATCATAGCTCCGGAAGATGAAGTTGACTCGTCAAAGGTCATTTTCACCTTCTAAATAATTTTGATTTTCTGTTTCAGAAAAATCGGAGCCGAATTTCGAAAAACGGGCAGCACCGTTGCGTCTGGAACGGCCGAAAGTGGTGGGTAGGCACTTTCGGGGTCAAAATACAATTTTCGAAAAATTATAGGTGGAAATTATAATTTTCCAAAAATTGAGGGACCAAACTGCAAATTTTCAAAATTACAAACTGACCGGTGACGTGGCAGATGACGTGGCAGTGACGTGGCGGTGACTGGGCGATGACGTGGCAGCTGACTGGGCGCTGGTGAAAGTTGGCAGTTGACTGGTGACGTGGCGGCTGACTGTGCTGGGACTGCACATGTGGCGCTGACGTGTCGCTGACGCAGCTCTGGCTGGCTGATGACGTCAGCGATGACATCAGCTGTCTTCAACCTCTGTCTGCGCGTGATGACGTCAGCATGACGCAGGCATTTTTTGGCCGGCGTTTGGCGGCGCGTACGGCAGCTTCCGGTGGCCAAAAAAATCCCCAAAAATACCAGTTTTCTCGTCTCGACGAGACGAATCTAACGGTATATTCAGATTGCAATTCCGAGCAATACTGAAAAACTCGATTTTTCAGACAGTAGAATTTTATCTGAAAAAAATCTGGGAAAAATATCAAAAGCTCAACCAGGCTCTGATACCACTTGTTGGGAATAACAGGATCGTGCTAATATGAGAGAAAAACACTTCTATTACTTTCAAGAATAGAAAGAAGAGACATACAAGCTCTAACTAAAAACTCTCAAAACAACACCTCCCATATCTCTTAAGGATATTCACAACTTTTCTTGGTTGTGCTAGGATGATCTATTCTAATTTACTTGATGATAGAAAGACTCTCCAAGCTCTCTATTTATAGCACCAAAACTAGGTACTATGAAGGTGGAAGGAAGCTTCAATGGAACATGAGGAAGCTTCAATGGTGGTTGAGGAAGCTCCCCTTGTCATTCTTGCACATGGAGGAAGCTTCATGGAAGCTATGAATTGAATTCTTCACATCACTCTTCTCCTACTAATGGCTAAAAATACAGATGATCAGTCTGAGAAAAGGTGTGCAAGATGAGAACAAAATCATAGAGAGAACACAGAGCTCGAATATAAAGAAAGATCCATTGAAGATTGCTCCAATTCGTGTTCTATCCTATTGTTCTAGACTTACATGATGTTATCTCCCAGGATTCGAGACTGAAGTAAGGATTTTATGATTAAGTAGAGAGACACTTGATCTGTAAGATGAGATTGTATAACTCATGCTAGAGAGGTTTGAGTTCGGGTAATTCAAGGGTAAACTCGAAGTGTCCATCTGGTAATTGTGTTAACATGCTTTATTAATAAAATGAGTTATCGAATTCTTTCGAGAGTGGTCGAGTGTTTTTAATTGTCTTGAGTCAAAAGATTTTATTTAATTTCTACTTTATTCTATATTTATATATCTAGAACTAAGTGGAAAACCATCTTAATACACTCAACATAATTGGCATGTATTACTAAACTATTTTTTTCTCCATGAAGTATAATCACTTTTGTTTTTTTGCTGATGAGGTTTTTAATGAAGTAGTACATCAGCAATTGGATTAAAAGTTGTATTTTCCTCTTGACTATGGGTTTTCCCTAGTATGCTTTTCAGCAATGTAAGCGGTGCAGTAAAACTATTTACAAGTTTGAATTGTTCATTGTTATAATCAACATACTTATACAGTTCTCAACCATATACTCCGAAGGGACACATGACTCTACACATGACTCTCTAAGATAATATCAAATTGAACTATTACAACTAGGAGCTTATTGAATTCCGTATAATCACTCGTACTTTCGATGCAAGAAGTGGGAGAACAGTTTTTGTAAGACACTGGGGTTGTTGAAATTGTGTTTCAACCAAGAGATGGTGGTTTCAAATGGAAACACTAATCGGCCCTAGCGATTTTGGACGGAACTGTCGAAGTAGAAATGCTGCAAATAGAGTATTTGGGTTAGCGTTTTGAAATATGGCGTTTTCTATTTTATGGCCAAACAACTAAATTACCATTATTTTACAAGCCAACTTATTCCGCTAGTCAAATTCCGCTGATTGAATTCGCTTGATTGAGTGTTCTACCATATATCTCAGGGGTATCAACATTCATGATAAGGGATCTCTAAAATCCACCGAAGTAACTTTGGCCAATGCCGAGCTCAAAATCGATTCGATAACCGAGATAAGTCCAAAAATGCAGTCGAGACCGAGGTTGACCCTTGACGTTGTCGGTGGCAATTCCAGCACTACAATTGCGTTTTAGGCCAATTCTAGCATTACGAGCTCGAGATCAATAGAGATAGACATACTTCCCGATTATGAGTCGAGGTTCCCCACCTCTTAGCTAATGCATTCAATCTGAGCTTGAGCTCTACGACCGAGCCTAGGATTTCAAATAGAGATCGTGGACTTAGACATTTCAGTGCGTATTAAGATATCACCATACTCAAGATTACCTCACTATACTACAAATGTCCCAATACACAGGGACATTTCAATACACAGGGACAAATGCCGGTACAACAATGCAATCAATTAGATATTATTCTCCAATTAGCCTTCACGTGTCATTAGGCTAGTTGGTAGTTACTTTTACATGTTCACCAAGTATTTCATTGAAAAGTATAAATACAATACTCCGTAACAGTTTTTGTACACCCTGGGTTACACGCCGTGTTACATTCTATTTATTTACCCTTTAAACTGACAAACAAAGTACAACTACAAACACTTTTGGATAAAATTTGTCTCTGCGAACAAAGTTTGTCTACGTGAACAAAATTTTCAGGCAAACATGTCTGCACATTGACAAAAAATATATGTGCACAAACACTTTTATGCAGACACCTAGTGTCTGTATACACACATTGATTCTGTGCAACCCAATCTAAATTTTTCTGCAAAAAATACATCAATTAATGTGATTTGCATGGAAACCAATATTTGTACGCACACTAGTTGTTTGTATACGCACAAAATGTTTCTGTGCACATAATTTTTGTTTATACGCATACATGTTTACAAACAAATTTTGTTTACATGGACAAAGTTTGTGGAAAAGTGCTTGTATTTGTACCTTTTTGCTTGTATGAAGGGTAAATAAATAGGGTGTAATCCGAAGATGTTGCCCAAAATATATACCAAACATTATTATTGTTATAAATATCACCTTATAACTTGTGAAAGAGAATACAATTTTACTTTTCCAAGAAACTGTTGCTCTCCCAAATTTCTCATTCAATTCATACTTTTATTATTCTTCCTCGATGATTCACTAACCATTAATTAAAATGCCACACACATCCAGCGTCATTTTCTTCCAAATATATACCTCGTGTATCTATATTTTCCCCTATCATACAACGTTTACTCAATAATCCGAACAACAAATCTATTTCCGAACATTCCATGGTCCCAAAATATTACTGTAATTCGGAATGCCTTCATTAGTATAACTAGACAAAGTACCCGTGCGATGCACGGGGTATATCTAGAATTGGATGATAACGTGTTTAAAATTATGTTTTACCATGGTACATTATGTGTTAGTTTTGACCAAAAAGGTAGAGTTTATGTGTTGTAAGTTTTAGTATATGCATAGTCGTAGTTGTAGGAAAAATGAAAAGAAAATTAAAATAAATGATAATGAGTAAACATAAGTTCTATGTGAAAAATCAGTGAGCTCTATGTCTCATTAAAATTTATAAGATAGAGCAACAATCATATATGTAGCCAATGAAAAAAAAAAGTTTCACAAATTTCTAAAAACTTCTTTATATACCACATTATTCGTGGTTGATACCGCGGCCCTCGTAATCACATATAAGAATCTTCAACCCGCTTCTTGAGGTAACTCTTGACATGACCACGTACAATTGACCGTGCGTAAAGACAGATTTTGGAAGATATATGCCTACTTGATCAAGAGACTGTCTTTGAATTTTATTTATTGTCATGGCAAATGAAACAATTATTGGAAATTGCTTGAGCTGAAATTTGAAAGGAATTCTGCTATCCGACGCGACCAATGATAGTCAAGGAATCAAAATTTTTTGGCCAATACTTTTTCCAGTTATAACCTTAGCCTCCAAAACAAATATACCTAACCGAGTAATAATCAGGTGGGTTTTGTTGCATAAGACAGAGGAATGGTCAATGTTTCTCATTAATATAATAGGAACACCAACCTTTAGTCCTAATTTATGGTTCAGTATCCCTGATGCATTGATGATGTTTAGAAACTATTGAGTATGCACTTCATCAGATTCAGCGCCAATGTTGCCTTCAAGTGAGCACGGGCTGTCAAAACTCGATCAAATATGTCCTCAATTCTCCAAGTATCAATGGAATCATATAATTATTTATAAGCTCTACAACATCATCTATGAGTGTCAAAAAAGTTCTTTGCTGAAAATATGATGGATCGGCCATATTTTCTAGAATTGACAGATAAGTGCTAGCAACAATTGAGGCAATAGGATCACCTAAGGTGGTAATAAGCATATCATCTGGTATATCAATGACGACCTCTCCATCTTTGACATTCCCAATATTTCCATCTCTTATTTGCAGCACCAAATCGGATAATTTTTTCAATTCCTCAATATTACAATGTGAAGAACCACACTACAACCTCATGTTTTTTGTTAAAGTGAGAACGCGACAATATCTCCAAATATATGAGGCATTAATAGTAGCACGAACAACCTCTTGCCTAGATGCCTTTGATATGACTGGGAGTATTTGTCTGAAATCACCACAAAAAACGACAACTTTTCCTCTAAACAGAAGTTTCAAGCTATCAAGATTGTGAGATCTAAGCAATTCTTTTAGTGTCCTGTCTGGCTATCTACAGCTTCAAAATAATGTTTGCGTGTCATTGGAGCTTCATCCCATATGATAAGCTTCACTTTGATTATTAGCTCAGCTAGATGGCTTCCTTGTTTTATATTGCAAGTGGAGTCTTCATTGACGTTAATAGGAATGGCAAACCGGGAATGAGCTCCATATGTTATACCTATTTTTTTTAATAAACTATGTATCATATTTCTCTCTCATATGTTATAACTATTTTTAATATACTACATATCATATTTCTTGGCATATATATAAATTAATTATTCTGCTCCTTTTTCGAAATTATTATATCATTACATTATTATTATTGCTAATATTATTATTATTTGTAAACTTAATTGCTGCAATGTCTTTTTGTTTTTTGGACAAATTTTTAAACTTAGAGCCCTTTTGGTAGCCCGAAAATCGGTTGCTTTGGCTGATTCTGCTGATTTAAGAAAAAAATATTTCTAAAATATATTTTATTAATAAAATAAAGAAAAAATTATATGTAAAAATAGCTCAAATGACCATCTACAATAACTTTAGCCAATACAGCCAGAAAAGTAACTTCAGCTTCACTTTTTTCTGCTTATTACAATATTCAGCGCGCGAAAGCAAAAATTACGTGTTTGGTGAAAAAGTTAGTTGATAAGCCTGTTAAACCGAAAAATTGTGTTGTTAAACGACCTCTTAATTGATTTGTGCAGGGCTTAAGGCAGATTTTGGGAGTCAATGGTTACAGAAATAGACATGATAAGATTATGGTAAGATTCCATATTATAACCCAAATCTGACAAATTGTTATTATATCGATTTTTTGACTCACTGATTTGTGAACTTTGAATTAATATTTGCTCAAAGATTTTTTGGCCGTATGTAACTACGTATCATCATAATATATTGCTGCAATATATTATATATACATGTTGAAATGTATGGCCCGTGTATGTTGATACTTTGTATATGCATGACACGTACGTGTATGTTGATATAGTACATGTTAATATTCCATGTTTAATACGGAGTACTTTGTATATTTCAAAAGTCACATTATATATATTTATCATTTATGGATGCCGTTTGTATATTACATGCATTATATATATTTATGGATGCCGTTTGTTTCTTTCCAAAAAATAATCGTACAATACAACATCATACTCAGTACTACTATTATTTAGTGATCGGGAATTTTTATGGCAGGTTGACAGCTTACCTCGATCGGTTGCAGATGATTTACATGTATTAAATAATTGATAAGGTGGCTTCAAAAAAATCGATAAAAGATTTCTGGGCAATAAATGCTGTTACATCCTTACCATATACATTCATATACATGTATTATGCCGCCATGGGTGGGATTTGTCTACAATAATAATTATTCTAATGTTTTACAACCATCATTTCCATTATTATTATTCCGTAAAACATTTTGGGCGGGATTTTTCCCTCCAACTGTTGTGCACTGACTGTTACTTTATATTATATAAAGATAATATGAATACAAATTCCCATACACAATAAATTCCAGAAACCGAAACGCTTTTTTTTCCCACCTCTCTGTTCTCATCAACTCCTCATTCATTCTTCAGCAGCAGTTCAGTTTTCCTTACTCATCAAATCGCTAAGTCGGTGTATTCGTTAAATGGCGCATTTATAATAATCGCCTATCCGCATTTCTCCAAAAACCGATTCTCACATTGAAATGGTTCAAGTTATGGAAGTTCAATTGTTTTGTTCTAGTTTTAATAATACTTTTTATTTGGCTGAGTGAAGGAAGAAGACAGAGTTTCAGTGGCTAAAGCAAAACTCCCATGGACAAGCTAACGTCAAAATTTACTTGGAGGATCGAGAATTTCTCGCAACTGGAGGATAAAATGCTTTTCTCTGCCACGTTCCTCGTGAATGAGAAGAAATGGTATGCTCCGATCCCTATACTTGGATCGACATTAGTGAACAAATATATGCGAAAGAAGAAATGAAGAATTATACTTTCATTGATATTTGTTGCTCTACAGGAAGGTGATCCTTTTTCCCAAAGGAATCAAGGATGATCATTTGTCTATGTATCTCGGTGTTGTTGACTCGTCTCGCTTTCCCAATGGCTGGACTATACCAACAACCTTCAGTATAACTCTGTTTAACCACATAGACACCCACAAAACCATCAAGAAAGGTATTTGAGTAGAATGGAATGTGTTCTCTTGGCAATTGCAGGGCCAAAAATGGGGGTGAAAATTTTCAGGACAATACTTGAGTTTGAATAACTTATATGAAGTATGTAGGATAGAAATTAGTTCAAGTTAGACAAATATATTTTATTTGTTTGATGTATATATTAAGTTTAAGTAGGTAATGATTAAATAAGATTTAATTCTCAAAATGTGCTCATAACTTAGAGACATAAAACGTAGGTACAATTATCTGGTACATATGTACAATCTCTCCCGAGTATGTCCCGTATTGTTCCGAATTGGAAATAAAACTAATGTCAAATTTTACTTATATCTAGTTTAAGGCCCTATTGATTTCGAGAGGCCATAACTTTTACTCAAGTTAGAGAAAAACAAAACTCAGAGCATCTCCAATGCTATAATGTCCACGGTGCACATGTGGCATGAGTGATAGCCACATAATTATTAGCAAATAAATTATTTCTCTCCTTATTTGAATGATTTTATACAATTTTGGTAAGTTTTTCCCTGCAATGTCAACAACAATGTCAGCATTAGACGGTCTCCTTGACATTGTGCAGAAAAACTTACCAAAACTGTATAAAATCATTCAAATAAGGAGAGAAATAATTTATTTACTAATATTTATGTGGTCATCTCTCATGCCACGTGTGCACCGTACACATTGTACCATTGAAGATGCTCTCAGTCGGGGAGAACAATTCCTGCTGTTTCTTTCTATATTTATTATTTGACTTGTCCGTAATTATTTGTATGTTTCAGGATATCCTAAATTTTAAATGGTAATATGTTTCAACACTTTACATGCTTGAACTTTCCCGGGGTCAACTATTTCACCCCTGTCTTGGACTTATTTTTATTCTTGACCAAATTAAATCAGAGGAGACTAGACTTAAAGACAGAAAAAAATCAGTTGAGGAGAACAGTTCCTGCTGTTTCTGTATTTGTTATTCCACTTCTTTTTAATTATTACTTGTACCTTTCAAGATATCATAAACTTTAGATGGTAAGTCGTCTAAATACTACCACTCGATGTGTTACATGTTTACCATATTAGCTGTTTAGCACTCTACTTTTGTTTGCATATTATACAGATTTAGTACACACTTTCAATGCTCAAGAAAGCAATTGGGGCTTCGAATCATTTATCTCTCTAAGTGAATTACATGATAAAAGTGGAGGTTATATCGTAGAAGACGCATGCTTGATAGAAGTTGAAGTACATGTGCCTGATGATGTTTCTCCATCTGCTAACCATAAAGTGTATTTTCATGTTTGATTGAAAAGCACAAGTATAACAGCATGAAATTATTTTTTCTGTGTTTTTTCCTATTTTTAAATGACTTTCTCCTTTTTTCTCTTTGTGATCAGGCTTTAGATTCTTCTATTGCTGTTCTTGATAATGTGGGATCTGTGCACAACCAGGCTCAGTCTTTTCTCCAGTCACTGTCCAAGAAACCACTCACCTCAGGATCTAATGCCTCAAATAGACAAATACCTCTGCTTAAACGATATTATTATGCAAAAGAAATCCTTGACATATTGATATCATGCTCTTTGGATGATATCGCCGATCCCAGCAATGAAAGTGCAATAATGGAGTCTTTGTCCACACTCAAAGACTCAACTGATTTGTGTGGTCGGGGCGTGGGAGAGGCCATTATGAACATGAGATACACTTTTCCGAAAGTGGTGCAGGAATGGAGAGACTCATATCGAGTTAAGGGAGGTAGTGAGCATCCGTGGTCTACTTTCGAGAAAACCAAAAGCGTTCTTGAACATTTAGTGAAAGTGGAGGAAGGAATAAGGACTAAACTGGAGGAGCTAGACAAGAAAGAAAAGGAATTGGAAGCTCAGGTGGAGGCGGTCGAAAGCGAGAGTCGAAAGCTCAAAGAGGAAAGGGAAGAACTATCAAACCAGACGAAGATAATTTTTGATCTTGTTAAGGAACTTGCTCAGCAAGTCGAACCAAAGGTGGTTGAGGTAGACCGGGATAACCATACAGTGGAGGAGTCCTTGAAGGCAAAGTGGGCTACTACAAGACAACTCTTTGCTTGATATATCTGAGCTGCCAGTGTCTATAATTTACATCAGATATGCCAACATCTTGTCTTCTGTCATTCGGTTAAGGTAGTATTTCTTATGTGCTTTTAAGGTAGAATCTGATGTAATATAAACACCCTTTGCTTATCAGATTTTAACGCTTCTAAACTTTCTTGGACTTTCATCTTTCTTGTGAAACAATAATTCTTATATTATCATCTTTATAGTAGATTTGTTTTTAGTTTACAGTTGAGATTCCAACGGAATCTACATATTGATAAACTTGTAGCTTAATGAAAAATTATGTTGTGCTTTTGATAACATTTTTTTGCTTTTGATAACATATACGGAGTACTACGTATTTTCGACTGGCTATATTATACCGAGTGATCGGCACAATATCAACAAGTTGTGCACCTATCTCACCGGTGTTTTCTTCTATTCTGTTCTTCCACACCTGCACACCCATCCTAACTCCTAAGTAGATGCTGTGTCTTGTGTCTTCATTTCTGGTAATTTCATTTTCAATTTCAACTATAATCATCGTGTCCATTACATACACAAAAACATAAAAGGGTTGTGGATATTGAAAATAATTGGCTAAAGGGTCAAATAGGCCCTTGAACTGACTTAAAGTGTTCAATTAGCCCCATATATAGGAGGTTCTGTCCGGCCATCGCCAATTGGGGTGGTTCCCGGTGGAATTTTTTGCTGAAATTTTTTGAGCATCTTCTTCATTGAGTCTAGTTTACTCATACCAAATTTCAGCTAAAAATTCAACCAGGAAGGCAGTCAAATGATTTTATGAAGATAACTGCGAAGTTAAACGGCACACTACATTTCGGAACCGCCCCAATTAGCCGGACAGAACCTCCTATATAAGGGGCTGATTGAACACTTTAAGTCAGTTCAAGGGCATATTTGACCCTTTAGCCAAAATTATTTAATAATTTGGACTTACTATTCTATGATAGTCCATAATATTATTAAATTGAATTAAATTCTATTGGACTATTATCCACGTTATTGGGCCTCTTTTGAATTTATTGGGCCAAAATCGGATTCTACTAGACTACTCGTATCAAAAGGAAAATATTAATATGGATCCGTTTAGATAAAATATAGTGATTAAATTGATTTGGATCATTTAAAATGTCTAATTAATTCAATTATAAATTAAGTGTTTAAAAGAATGGATCGGTCCTATTAATTTCTCCATTTTGAGCCCAATATCAGATGATGACCCAAGCTCAATATCAGATGATGACCCAATGTATAAGAGGCATGACCCAAATTGATAAAGAGAGCAATGAATCTGGCTAAGAAATGTGTCCATATGCATGAGAAATAGCTCTGAACCTTGTTAAGAAAGCTATCCAGGTACATTGCACAAGTGCTGATTTTTCTAGCTATTAAAATCCAAGTAAATAGAGCCCAAAGCCTATTTTAATTGAGGCCCAAAGGGTATAGACGAATTTCTCCAACCCTAAACCATATTTTCACCCTCTCCACACCTATAAATAGGGGTCTTGGTTGAAAGAAAGAGAGGAGAACTTTCAGACGAAGAAATGCAGCAGCAAAGCTCTTAAGAACTCCAGAGAGGCTCTGAACGATTCCGAAGAAGAGGAAGAGATCAAGCCACGATTTTTCTCAAGAATATATGAATAATCCTTTGTGATTTCATCTATTCTTGATAAAATAAGTCCAAAAGTTGAAGACCATTCGAAGATCTGAAGAACGAAGCTCGAAGATTCGAAGATCTGAAGAACAAGACTTTGAAGATTCGAAGATCTAACGAATGAATCTTTGAAGATTTGAAGATATTCATATGAAGATTGAATAAAAATTCAATTGAAGATCAAGCCATATATCCCGGAAGGCCCTTAAATAGAAGATTAAGCCATAAAATGGTCCTTTTGTTGAAGATCAAGCCATTTGAAAACCGTAGGAGTTTCAATCTGAATTTTTATTTAAGAAGATTTGAATATCCGAAGAACAAAGATTCAAAGATCTCCAGAATGAAGATTCGAATATTCGAATAACGTTTAAATATTTGAAGGATTAGAGATTTAATTTTGAATTAAATTCTTTAACTATATTCATATCAAATTGCAAGTTAACAATCAGATTATTCATATTTAGAGATTGTACCCGATATTCTCATATATTATTATTTACGAAAAATACTTAAAAAATTTGTTTCACAAGATCTTACTCTTTTGTTTATGCAATGAAAAGGTGTAATCTTTATTTCATATGACAAACCTTTAAGCTTTTGCGTCCTATACTAAAAAACTTATCATCATTGTATCAGATTAAAATATTCACTACCCTATTTGTCATTCTCAACCGCAATATTTTTTATACTTATTGACCACGATTACGCCAAAATATTGAACATTTAACACATTTTATAATGAATATACCCTAAAATTCATTTAAAATTGATGTCAAAAACTCACTAGAAATTAAATAGATCAAACTAGATTAAAACATAATTTTTGGGACTAAGGCTTGGATGTTGTTGTTGTAGTAGACTAGATTAAAACATACCATACCTGATTTCGGTAGTTTTAAAATGCAAATACACCAGACATTTATCAGATCAAACTAGACACATGATATTTTTTTGCTTAAACTTATTTCAGCCCCATAACATAATAGACCAGATCACACTTCAACAGTTATAAAATACACATTTACCAAATAAAATCAGACTTAAATAGACTAGATCAGATCAAATTAGACCAATGCAAACTAGACAAGAAAATGTTTGAGTCCACAAGTAAAAATATCTGTAAACACACTAGACCAAATCAGGTTAGGGCTGGCTAATGATGCTGGTGGCTAAGAGGCGGGGCTGGTGGGGCAAGGCACGAGGCTGGTGGGGCAGGGACCAACTGTGGTCTGGGGCGGCCATTGGAGGGGCACGATTGTTGGGAACGATTGTCACTAGGCAGTTAGTCAGTGGCAGTGACGAGTAGTCATTGACATTGACGAGTAGTCACTGTGAATGGTGATCACTGGGATGGTGGTCGTTGGGGTCGTAGTCACTACGAGTCTACGACATTGTTCGTTGGGACATTGATCACTATGTCGTCATGGTAGTACTAGTGACGTAAGATTATAGTAGTAGAAGTAGTAGTCTATAATTCTCATTTAGTCTCTTTTTTTTAAAAATGATTTACTTGATTAATTAAATTCCATATATTTTCAAAATAAAATAAAAAATGTCTCTTTTACATTATGAGAAATATTTCCTCCGATCCATTATTTTTAAATGCAACTGTCCACTTTTCACGTTTGCCAACGCACAAGTTTGACCATTAATGTCTTTAAGTCTTTCATACCGTATTCGTAAAAAAACATTAAAAAAAAAGAGTTTGAAATATTAAAATGAGAGGGATTTAACAATTTTTTTTAAATTTAATTTATAATACATTAATAAATAAAGTAGAGTCAAAGCAGAACATGTGAATAGTGAAAAAATCCAATGTTGCATTTAAAAAAGAACGGATGAAGTACATAATTTGTAATACGAAGTATGTATTTAAGAATTAAATTAATTTCCAACTATGGTAATATTCCGTTTAAAAATTAAATCAGATTAGATTTTCAAAAAGTTCATGCCAAAAGTTAAATTCTTGAATATTTAAAATCAGTATGTCAGGCTGATAATAAAATAAAGGCTAAAGGGTCAAATAGATTCTTGTACCTTTCCAAATTGCTCAATTTTCCCTCTGAACCCAAAAAAGCTCCAATTGGCACCCTGAACTCGTAAAAAATTCAAATTTCACTTTTTACAGGTCACAAGTCGGTCGCTGCCACGTCACCCGGTACGGTGCCAACGATGCATGTGACATGACAACTTAGGGGGTCAAATAAGCCACTCAACCCGACCGAATCATTCAATTTACCCCCTCTACCCTTAAAAACATAAAAAATTTCGAAAAATATAAATAAAAAATGAAAAACGAAAATAAAAAATAGAATAAAAAATAAGTCAAAAATATAAAATATAAATATTTTTATATTTTTTGGTAAATTCAAAATAAAGAAATAAAATACAAACTAAAAGAAATTAATTCTTATTTATAATATGTAAAAAAGACTTCAATATATTTATAATAAATTATATAAATATGTACTTACTTTTTTATATTTTAATTCTTTAGTTTTTATGTTACTACAGATAGAAAAAAGTGTAATCAGTTTTTTGAAAAAAAAGTTACCTAAAATTGTATATTTATTTTTAGTATATTATTAAATAAATTAAAAAATATGAAAAAATACAAATGGATAATTTAAACATAATGCTTCGTATAAATTATCAAACCAAAATACTAAGATTTGTGTTATATTACAAACCATTACATATAATACATAATATCAAAATTTAAATATAGTTGGTAAGAAATTAAATATAGTTGGTCAAAATTTAAATATAGTTATAAAATATGGAAATAAAGTTAAAGATTTTTTTAGAATATATTTTATTTTTTATTTTGAATTTACAGTGAACAATAAATATTTCATATTAATATATTTTATATTTTAGACATGTGTTATATTTATAATTTTATTTATTATTTACTCCCTCCGTCCCTTCTTGGTTTGCTAAACACAAATTATCAAGTTAAAGTTGTTCAACTTTGACCGATTATATATTTATACACAGTAATATTGATAATAAGAAAATTATATGAAAATATTCTTTGTTGAAAATAATATCAATAAAGTATAGATTTATTAACTTTACATAAATATATATCTCTATTTAAAATGATGGATCCAAGTTTATCATCTTTGATAGGAAAAGTCAAAGTTGGCAAACTAAAAAGGGACGAGGTAGTATTATTTATTATTTATTAGTTATTATTTATTATTTTATTTAACTTTTTCAAAATTTTAACATCTTTTAGGGTTGAAGGGGTAAATTGAACGATTCGGTCGGGTTCCGGGACTTATTTGACCCCCTAAGTTTCTACGTCACATGCACAGTTGGCACCGTACCGGGTGATGTGGCGGTGACCGACTTGTGACCTGTAAAAAGTGAAATTTGAATTTTTTTAACGAGTTCAGGTGCCAATTCAAATTTAGCCTAAAATAGAGGGTTTAAAGAAAGCTTAATATTTTTTACGAATTAAGAGTTTGACTGTTTAAGAAAGTAGAGAGTGTTCCAAAAACGTCCTAGGAGGTGTTTACTTCGCTGCTAAAGTCACAGTTAGGTTAATAAGACATGTAAAGTAAACACGCACGCTGCTTAAAAAGCCGCTTACTAATCGAAAGAAATGCTTAAAGTGCCGTTTACTAAGCATACCACTCTCCATGTATTAATTAAGTAGCACTTTAAGCTTTTTAAGTTTCCGAATTTGCCCCTTGCCCTTACCCTATTGTTACCCCTCTACCCGCTACCCCCCACCCGCCCAACCCTACCTTACCCCGACCCCACCCTACCCACCCCTAACCACGACCCTACCCCACTCCCTACCACTTGCCCCTACCTTGGTCCCACCTCGATCCCAACACCATCGTACCCCATCCCTTGCCCACCCTAAGGGTTAGGGGTATGGATACATGTACGAGGTGACCCTACATATTACTCCCTCCGTTCCCAAAAATACTTCCCACTTACTTTTTTGGACAATTTGTGTGGCTCACATTCATTTTACCTTTTTCTCACACAAACACAACCACACATTTCCACTTTATTCCACTTTCTTAATAGGTGTGCCAAGTCAAATCGGGAATAATTTTTAGGAATGGAGGGAGTATATTATATACTTATGTTCATCAATGTTTGTATGTCTATATATGTATAGAATTATTTTGGACATTTTAATGTTAAACGATATTTTAAACATGATCTTACAACCTGTTTTATTATGTTACAACTATGCGTAAGCCACTAAACAGTGAAGAAACGCAGTACCGCAGGCAACGAAGCGACGCAGACGGCATGGCATACCATCTCGGGATTCTATCTTTCTTTCTTTAACTACTACGGAGTATGATCACTTCTTCACCTCTTCGCATCACTTCTGTAAATGCGTTACTGATTTTCCGGCGCCGGTGCTTTCTCTTCAACTCCTAAGTTCGATTAATATAATTTCAAAATCACCGAACCGTGTTTATCATAACCAAGTCCTGCATGCCCTATTAAGTTTTTACTTTTTTTCTGTTGATGTGTTCAATTTCTTTACGGAATAACTGTTGCTTTGATATTTATTGAGTTGTTTATTTGCCGTGTGAAGGAACCTGTCGAAGTATTAAAGGCTAAGCAAATTCCAAGCATTTTATAATGTCGAAGTTTACATGGAGGATTGAAAATTTCTCGCAATTGGATGCTAAAAAGCTTTACTCTGTGACGTTTATAATCAATGAGTACCAGTGGTATGTCCCCAGCCCCCCTGGACATTGGTTGAAAAACATTCAATTTTGCCTAGATGAGTTTTACAGTTTTTTCCTTGATTCTGCAGGAAGTTGATTCTTTATCCAAAAGGAAACAATACAGATAATCATCTGTCTCTCTACCTAGGTTTGGCTGATTACTCTAGGTTGCCCAATGACTTGAATGTGCCAACAAAGTTCAGTATTGCTCTCTTAAACCAGATTGACAAAAACAAATCCCTCAAAAAAGGTATTTACTTCATGTACAAATACAGTTCCATTTGTATTTTGTCTCTCTCTCTCTGTGTTCTTTTTTGTAATTTAGTATGTTTTGGGTTCCTAAACTTTAGGTTGCTTGTTATATACTTACTCAATTCTACTCAATTGTAATTGTAATTTGCATTGTGCAGAGTCCCAGCACAGGTTCAATACTCAACAAAGTTATTGGGGCTTCACTAAATACATGAGACTTAATCAACTCAATGATGAGGGAGGCTATCTTGTTAATGACACATGCTTGATTCAAGCAGAATTATCTGTTGTCAACGATAAAGTAATTTAAGTAGACTCGCATGCTATTTGACTAGTTTTTACGATTGTACTGTTATATTATTTCTACACTTTTTTACTGCCTCCATAAGCAGGATTAGAACATATGGAGCAACACATTTATTCAAATCTGTCCATCATTGTTGTTTTCTGGTAACCTGACTCATTCACATGTAAAGAAGAAGAACTAACTAAATTTAATTGTTTTTTTCTTAGGCTGAATAAGATCTATTTAACACAAAATAATGATGCACGTAAATTCTTCATGCTGCACTCCTATTTGCATTAATGTTTTTTTCTTTTTCTTTTTGCCTTTGTGCATGTGGTCAGGATTTTGGATCAGTAGATTCTGTCTATGTCAAGGCTGAATCGCTTCTCGATTCTCTTCCCAAGAAACCATCCAATTCAGTATCTAACCCTTCACATGGGATGCCTTCATTCAAAGGACACTCAATTTTTGCAAAAGAAGTACTTGATAAATTGATATCATGCCCTATGGATGATTTGGCTGATCCCAAGAATGAAGCTTCAATGATGGAGGCTTTGTCTGTTCTCAACGACAATCTCTCTTTGTTTAGTGATATACAGGCCAAAGAAATTATGAACTTGAAAGCCACTTTTCCACAAGCAATGCAGGAATGGAGGGACTCGATTCAAGTCAAGGGCACCGGAGACCACACTTGGTCTACATTTGAGAAGACCAAAAGTTTGCTTGAAGATTTAATGAAAACGGATCAGAACATTAGGACTAAATTGGAGGGGCTAAAGCAGAATGAAAAGGAATTGAAGGCTGAGCTTGAGGTGCTTAAGAGCAACTGTCGACAACTGAAGGTTGAAAGAGAAGAAACATCAAAGCAGACAAAAATAGTTCTTTCTCTTGCCAAAGAGCAGGCTAGCAAAGTGGAAGAAGAAGAGGCGGAGGTGGATTATGCTAACAAAAAACTGGAGCAGAGGTTGAAGTCTACGTGGGCTTCAATGAGACAGCTCTTTGCTTGAGAATCTACAGCTCTGTCTTATAAGTTTTAACTTGCAAATTTCAGCATTTTGCCTTTTACTGAAGTTTGATGTTCCATCTTTTTGAATCGCTAGTCCATGATGTGTCAATGTCTGAAACGTTAAGTCTTTTGTCATATTAGTTACATCGTTTTAAAATGGAGCGATTTTGAACTTTTCATTTGGTTTTACTATCTAGATGCTCTAATTTGTATGAGATTTTTATGAAACCTCTAATACTCATTTGGACATGGTGACACATTATAGTCTGCTCTGTGATATGTTGCCTTTTTTATGTAATTATGAGTTTAATGTACCAAACTCTTGTGATATACCAGGGGATCCAGAAACTTGAACTATTAGGGGCACCTTTTAAGAAAAAGTGATTTTATTTTTGAATAATTAATACTCCCTCCGTATCAAATTAATTGACCCACTTTCCTTTTTTGGTGTATCAATTTAATTGAACCATTTCCTTTTTTGGAAAGAATCTCACTCAAAAAGCAGCTACAGTACTGCTACAGTACCGCTACAGTGTCGCTACAGTACCAAAAACCTCTTACTTTTAATAAAGTCTACACTAATTGTCTTAAACTGCGTGAAAAGCAAACGGGTCAATTAATTTGATACGGAGGGAGTATAAATTAAATTTACTTCAAATGATGAAATAATCTAATATTAGCAAAATTAAAATTATTACGAGTACATTTTATTGCAACTCCTATCAACTTGTTTTCATTTTTTGAGAATGTTTGATCACAACTTGGTTGTCAATCATTCAAAGATGGTCGCTATTTGGATTGCTCAAATTTGACTTGGACATTAATATTCATCGGGAAAAACATCTTTCAAACTTTAGCCGTTACCATTGACAAAATCAATGACAATTTCAATAGTCGGTAATACTAAATGATATGAAAGTTGTTCTTTGTAGCCACCATCAGTTTAACAATGTCACCGCGCATAATAAAACCGATTATTTTTTTTTTTAGAAAAATCATGACCCTGAGATTGACATCGTCCTCTATGCAAGTACTTTTTTCTTATTTATCTCTTTGATTAAGATGATACTCGGAAAAGAAATCATCTCTACTCTACGGGATCCCAAGCGAGGTGCGTGATTCAAATAGATTTCTTTAGGCACTAAAGGAGAGCTATACTTAATTTTCTCTGGCATCCTAAATTTGATTAGAATGAGGCGGTGATTTTCTTTTATAATATACCTTAATATCATTGATCAGTCCAAATAAATATAAAAAACTAAACTCCTTATTTATACATAATATAGTGAACAACTTTTTTGAAATGTAAACTTTAAATTAAATTATTCATTCTCAAACAAATTAAATATACAAATACAATAGCAGAATGAATGAACAGAAGTAGCAAAATATACAAATACAATGAGCACTCCAATTAAAAAAATCAGAAAATTACTTAATAATTAATTCTAAAAAAGAGAATGAATTAAGGAGATGACAAATTGACTATGATAGAGTTGGTACAAATTAATGGGGGCCTCAAGTATTTAGATTGCGAGGTACTATCTATTCAATTAAACACATATATACACAAACAAATATATGTATTAAAAATTTAAAGTTCATGCCCCCATTAGTTCCTTCATAGTTCATATGTCCGCCCCTATGATATATGAAACACCAATTATGTGCATGCACCTTGTGATTTAAAAAACTAATTAAATTTTTCGTATCATGCGCAAACCCTTCTTCTAGAAAAATTTAGTTGTCATAAGTTGTCCTGATTGAGGTAGTTGGAGATTATGGATGAGGGATAGATGATAGCTATGCCTCACTTTAATAGTCAATTGGTGAGAATTCACTCAACTTCTTCGTCACTTCTAAAGATTCATTAAAAGAATCTCTAAAAATGGCCCCACCAAAGATGATTTCAAATTTAAATATTTACCTAAACTCTAAGAGGGCGTTAAGAGGGTGGTTCTTTGAACTTTCATTAGTGATTTATATAACTTGGGAAGGTATTTACTAAGAAAAACTGTCAATTTGGTCCTTGTATTATCACGAAAAAGTCATTTTGTCCTCGTATTTTTTGTAAAATAAATTAAATCTCGAAACTTTGTAAAATCGTTCAATTGAGTTCATTTGGAGATTATTTGTCATGTCAGCACATCACCCGCTGACGTGGCACACGTGTGGCAGCCCAACAAGTGCAAGTAAATTAGTCGGATATGATTATTTATTTAAGGGGGTGTATTCAATATGGATTGTTGTGGACTTTTTATAATCCATGGACTTTCAAAAAGTCAATGGACTTTTAAATTTATAGACTTTTTTATGAATGAATTCTATGGACTTTTAAATCCATGGATAAGTTTATTGACTTTCAAAAAGTCCATAGACTTTTAAATGCGGACCGCCACTGCAGGTCGTCAAAATTTTCACCTAGATTGTCGCTACCGATATGCCTGTGACCTGTCCGCATCCATCATCGGAGTTCCCCGCTGTCGTCATCGGACTGACGCGTCACCAACAAAATGGCTTTGGTTGTGAAAGGGAACTAGGGACAATTAATTATATTAATTAAGTAATTAATTAAATTAGGGGTGAATATGTAATATTTATTCCCATTTAAGAAAAACCAAACATTTAATCATACTTTAAGAATAATGCTTTGCTTTAGTCCTACCGTGAGTGATTTCCTCTATATAATACGGAGTACGATAAGAAATAAATAAGTAAGTAAGTAAATAAATAAATAAATAAATAAATAAATAAATAAATAAATAAATAAATAAATAAATAAATAAATAAATAAATAAATAAATAAATAAATAAATAAATAAATAAATAAATAAATAAATAAATAAATAAATAAATAAATAAATAAATAAATAAATAAATAAATAAATAAATAAATAAATAAATAAATAAATAAATAAATAAATAAATAAATAAATAAATAAATAAATAAATAAATGAAAAAATGTAATTCATATAGCAACACAATGTTCTACAAAAATAAATGAAGCATAAGAATTCAAATTTATTTTTATTAAAAAAAAACTCAAAGTTTCAAGAATGCTCGAGAATTTTGGCCATTTTATTAATGATTAAGAACATTAATCGTTACACAAGCATTACACTCATTGCTACATGTGGTACAAGCATAAATGCAATCGAGCTTTTCTACTTAGTGATTGTTTTCTTTTAACTTCTATCTTGTAAATACTTGTATATGTATTTATGGTTATATATTTATTAATTTGAAATTATATTTTTATGTGTTAAGCGATTTAACGATGAAAGAAAGTGATAGTTAAAATATTTATTTTCTTAAATGGTTAACTGATGACGTATCAAAATTGCATTGATGTAATACTATCGATTCTTATATCGGTTCTTCTATAAACTTCTAGAATCGAATCAATATAGGATTACTTAATCGAGGGGGTGGACTGGGGACGGCAAGCTAAAGAAGAAGAAGAAGAATGGAAGGAGAGGGGTGGGCGAGCTGGGTTGAAGAAGAAAAAGAAGAAAGATTGAAGAGGAAGGTGTGGCTTGGCTAAAAAAGAGTAGAGTTTGGGGAGGGGGGGAGTAGGCTTGGCCCGAGGCCGGTCTGACTGGCCCGGGACCCGGCCCGGCCCGGCACTGTGCGGGTCTGACCCGGCCCGTTGGATCGGTACCGGTACCGGGCCTAGGCCCGACCTGGGGGGATTAATTGGGGCGGTTCCGGAACTGCATATTTGAGGACCAGCCCGGCCGGTTTGGGCCCGGTCCGGGCCTATGGTAGGTAGGCTGGGTGTTTTGGAGGGGTTTGGGGGGTGAGGGTTGGAATATATATGAAAACAGAAAAAAATGAACCAGCCCGGCCCAACCCGGAACTGGCCTGGCCTAACCCGGCCCAACCCGGAACTGGCCCGGCCCGATACCAGTAGACTCCCGGGCTGGTCCCGGGCCTTACCCAAAAAAATCCAAGCCCGGCCGGGCCCGAATCAGAACAGAAACCGGGTCTGGCCCGGTCCATCCCTAGGAGGGAGGGGAGGAATGGGGTGGGACGGGATGAAGAACCGATATAAGAAAAGTCCACGGAAATCTTTGGTGAGGAGAAGAGACAATTGCAGAAATTTTTTGCACTAAAAATGAATTAAAAGTTCACGAGAATCCATGATTTTAGAAGTCAATAAGAATGAACGGAAATTTGAATACGCCTAGACTTTTATAGACTTTTAAAAGTCCGCATTGAATATACTTAGACTTTTGTGGACTTTTAAAAGTCCACATTGAATACACCTAAACTTTTAAAATCCATGGACTTTTAAAATTTTGCCACTAAATCCTAATACAATACAACCCCCTTAGAGAGAATTCCCTAAATGGGAGTAAAAACGTTATGAAATTCCAAAGTAGGATTATCAAGTTTTTTATTCCCTGAATAAGATTAAATTTCTACCAAGTTTGGCATTACTAGGCTTTAAACATGACATTTTTTTGCCAAACTTGACAGATTACTCCTATTCAGGGAATTAAAAACATGATAGTCCTATTTTGGAATTTCAAAACATTAGTTTATTAATTGTTTTCATTCATAATCCGACGACGGAGGTGATTTAGTTCAGAAGAAGAATGATTTAGGTACCAAAAATGAAACAATTCAAAATGATTACATCATTGGAGGGGGTGAGAAAAAAAATTACTCCCTCCGTAACATTCATATCTTCCCATTGTTCTTTTTTGGACATAACATTTATATCTTCCCATTTCTAAATCTTCAAATCATACCCTCAATAATTTAAAAAATAATACACTACTACACCTACTTTTTTTGGATTTATCCTTCATTCCATCACATTATTTCTCCATCTTCCTATCATACCCTCAATAATTCATACCCCATTTCACTATTCTTAATCTCACCCACTTTGGAAGTGGGAAGATATATGTGATACGGAGGGAGTACATAGATAGGACCACGAGTGTTTCCTTCCTAAATAAGAATCATCAATACTATAATATTATTGATTTACATAAAAGAGAGTTTTTCAATTTTTTTAAAAATGTTTGATTTTTTTGAATGATTATTATTGTTGTTGTTATTACGCATGTTATACAAAAAGTTATACAAAATTTTAAAATTAATCCATTTTATTTTTCTGCCAAACATACCGGCCAAGCCAACAATTATTGTACTTCCTCCGTTCTTAAATAAATATAACGGTCAACATTTCACACTTGCCGATGCACAACTTTGGCCATTAATATATATAAATTTGTATTAGTAAAAAAATTAAAAAATATATATTTTAAAAAATATATATTTTGAAAATTGAATCATTC